ATTGCCCCGCATGCATCACTTCTGTGTACCCACTGCCAGGGGGAACTGAAGAAACAGATCATATATGTCACAGGTCTAGAGTGGTTGGAATTGACAAATATAATTAGCTAGTTGATTAATTAGGGTCATGTTCATACTTTCATGATGAAAGGAAAGCAACTGTTGGTGTTCAGCAAAAGTCATTCAGTGCTCATTAAATGTATTTGATAGCTGTTTTGGGGTCTTGTACGTGTGTTTGCTTTTTATTTCTTGAGACCCAGGCTTGGTCAATACTTTCTTAACTTGGCACCCATAATCAACATACAAATTTTTCTTAGCAACAATTGTCTGCTCTTTAGGATGGAAGCAATAAAGAATCCCGCTTTGTGCATCAGCTAATCCTCCTTCCTTGCTATGGGAAGAAACTTATATTCTAAGGAATGATTCAGTGTGAGGCTTATGAGACTGAGAGTCAAGTTGATGAGGAAGAGAAGGCTCAGAAGTACCTGAACAACTACTCTCTATGCTTATATTTTTCTGCTTGAGGGGATAGAGACCCCTCCTTCATCTGCATGTAGAATTGCTTAAGAGGAGCCTCCTAGAGGACAGCAAGACAAGTTGCGGCAGGGGGATGCAGGGTAGACGGAATGCCTTTTTTTTTTTTTTAAATTAAAAATTTTATTGAGAGAGTAATCCATCTTCACTTGTAAGAAATAATACAGATAGGGCTGGATGAGGTGGCTCATGCCTGCAATCCCATCACTTTGTGAGGCAGAGGAGGGTGGATCATGAGGTCAAGAGATCCAGACTCTCCTGGCCAACATGGTGAAACCCGTCTCTACTAAAAATACAAAAATTAGCTGGGCGTGCTGGCACACGCCTGTAGTCCCAGCTACTCAGGAGGCTGAGGCAGGAGAATCGCTTGGACTTGGGAGGCGGAGGTTGCAATGAGCCTAGATTGTGCCACTGCACTGCAGCCTGGTGATAGAGGGAAACTCCGTCTCAGACAAAAAAAAAAAAAAAAAAAAAAGAATACAGTACAGAGAAATTCTGTGTACCTTTACACAGTTTCCCTGAATGGTAACATCTAGCAAAATTATATAGTACTCTGCCACAACCAGGATAACGGACATTAATATAAGCTACTGATCTTGTTCAGATTTCCTTCCCCAGTTTTACTTATGTTCATTTCTCTCTCTCTCTCTCTCTCTCTCTGTTTCTATATAGCTTTATTAAGTGTAGATTTGTGTATCTGTCACTACCGTCAAGATACAGAACAGGTTGGGTATGGCGGCTCATGCCTGTATTCCCAACACTTTGGGCGCCCAAGGCAGGTGGATCAACTGAGGTCAGGGGTTTGAGACAAGCCTGGCCAATACAGTGAAACCCTGTCTCTACTAAAAATACAAAAATTAGCTGGGCGTGGTGGCAGGTGCCTGTAGTCCCAGCTATTCAGGAGGCTGAGGCAGGACAATTGCTTGAACCTGGGAGGCAGAGGTTGCATTGAGCTGAGATTGCACCACTGTACTCCTGCCTGGCAACAGGGCGAGACTGTGTCTCAAAAATTAACAACAACAACACCAACAAAAAGATATGGAACAGTTCCATCACCACAGGGATCCCTCATATTGCTCTTTTACAACCATGCCCACTTCCGCTCCTGAAACCCCTTCCCCACCCCTAGCCCCTGGTAACACAGATATACTCTCTATTTCTAAAATTTTGTCATTTGATATATCTTTTCATAAACATATAATCATACACACACGTTTCTCTACCACTTACACTTTTTCAAAGTGCTTTTGCATCCTTATAGCAATTCTGCAAAGTAGCCAGGGAAGGCTTTCCTATTTCAGGTCAGAAAACAGATTTAGAAATATTAAATGACTTAATGAAGGTCACATGTTTAGCAGTAGAACTAGAACTGGGACCCAAGTCTGCTGTTCAGTCCCAGACCTTTTCTACCTACCTGATCTGATTCTTCACAAGGGAAGGCTTGGGTTTTAGAATCCAGAGACCTCAGAAGGAGCAAATTGGAGAAGGAGAGGGCATGATGGCCTTTACCACCTGAAGCAAAAAGTGAATGTCTAGGGGCGAACAGCGTTTCAGGCAATTTGCTTCCTTTACCAGGAGATTCTCTGTCCTCTTACAACCTGGGACACAATAAATGGTGAAATGCACTCACACGGTTGGAGGAAGAGTGTTCTTCCAGTCCTCCTCCCCACAGGGCCTCCTGCTTCTCCTATGTACCTGTCATCAAAGGAAATGAAGATGAATCCTTCTTCAGCCCCCACACCTCAATGGGTTGTCAATAAGTTGTGTTCCAGGTTGTATGTTTGCTTTACTTAGGCCCAAAGGAAATAAAGAATGGATGTCAGAAATTCTTACCCCAATGGTTTTGTCTTACAGGCACAGGGTAGCTTCTAGCCTCAGCATTTTCATTAATGCAGTGTTTTCATTAAAATCTCCATTAACTTGTTTGCAGCAGTGAGATGGAATTATCCCTCCCACAAGGCCTGGGGCAAGATACTTGCAGAGGTGCTCCCTTTTGTTTGGACGGTAGAAACACTGCCTTCCCTGCCATGGTGTTCAATCAAGTTGGCAGGTGGGTCAACTTCAAAGTGCAGAAGGGGCTGCGAGCCAGCCGTGTAGCTCACCCCTGTAATCGCTACACTTTGGGAGGCAGGCGGATCGCTTGAACTCAGGAGCTTGAGACCAGCCTGGGCAACAAGATGCAACCCCGTGTCTGCAAAAATACAGAAAATTAGCTGGGTGTGGTGCCTGTTGCCTGTAAACTCAGCACTTTGGGAGACGGAGGCCAGTAGGTCCCTTGAGCTCAGGAGTTTGAGACTAGCCTGGCCAACATGGCGAAACTCCGTCTCTACAAGAAAATACAAAAATTAGCTGGGCAGAGTGGCTCTCGCCTGTAGTCCCAGCTACTTGGAAGGCTGAGGTGGGATGATTGCTTGCATCCAGGAGGCAGAGGTTGCTGTGAGCCAAGATGGTGCCATTGCACTCCAGTCTGGGTGAAAGAGCGAGACCCTGTCTCCAAAAAAAAAAAAAAAAGGGGGGGCAGAAGGTCCAGGGCCTGGCCAACAGGATGTTGCCCTGTAGCACTTTGCTTTGCAGGAAGGGAACAACTGTGGTGTGAGCACCAGGATCCAGGAGGGAAGGAGGTCCGAGCTAGGGACAAGGCTTCCTTAACCTTAGGTCCTCATGCGTATATCAGTTCTTCTCCAACAAAGTTTGACTTTGAGAAGAAGCTGGCACATGGCTGAAATGCACTCACGTGGTTGGGGGAAGAGTGTTCTTCCAGTCCTCCTCCCCACAGGGCCTCCTGCTTCTCCTAAGTACCTGTCATCAAAGGAGATGAAGCTGAATCCCCCTTCAGCCCCCACACCTCAATGAGTTGTCAAGTACTCTCCCTCCCACTTGAATAGGAAGCAGGAGCAGCGGGCCAGGTTGCAGGCTGAGGAAGTCAGAAGTTAACTTGAGCTGAGTTTGCAGCTCTGGAGAGATTGAGGAGCAGACTTTTCTCTTGTCACTTTGGAAGGAGAGGATTGTGAGGCTGCCCCTTTAAATAGCATTCCCGTAGGAGGCAGATCACATCCATCCGTCACCTGCTGCCAAAGCATCATTTTTGGTCTCTATCAAACTCAAAGCTTGTTGGAAAGAATTGTGGGGTTAGGGGAGTGAGGAGGCAGAGCCTCCTAGGGGTAGGGGACAGTTTAGAAGCTGAAAAGAAAGGGAATGAGAAGGAGCCTGGGAAAGGTGGGGGTTGGGGACAAGAGGAAAAGACAGGGAGAGAATAGTTGTCTTTTGAGCCTCTGAATGGAACAAGTATACCCTATTCTTATCTCTTTAAAGATGCAGCAAGGTAGAAATGGGATTGCATTGCAACAAGAGGAATGAGGTTGAGACTAAACACCAGGACTGGTGACTAAAGAAAGTGAAAGAGAGCCACAGAGTGGAAAAGGCTGGTAGACTTGGCTCTGGTTTTATCACTTACTCTCCGTGGGACCGTGTAATTTTTCTGGGTTAGTTTAGTTAGTTCTCATTTATTTTTATTTGTACTTTTTTCATCACACTGTGTTGTCTATGAAGCTTTCCCATTTATTAAGTGAAGGGGATTACAGTAGATGAACTCTAATGTATCTTTCATGAATAACTTCTCTCTCTCTCTCGCTCTCTTTTTTTGTGAATTATCCTTAAAATGAGTCAGGAGCAGGGGGTCTTGGGAGATCAGGATGTGCCACTGTGTTAACAAGAAATGTTGAGAGATCCCTCTGGATGTACGTCTTACCTCTTTCCTACCTATTCTAGTTTAAAGACCTGCCTAAATTTGGAAACTCCTTAGCTTTAATCCTAATTTACTAATTAGAAACTCTTTAGCACAATCCCAATTTGCAATTCTTTCGTAGCTTCCAGCCCATTTCATTTTCAGTTGATAAGGAGGAGATTGCTCCCAAATTTTCAGAAACGGACTGTGTAGGAGTGTGACTAGGGTCGCAGAGGCAGCTATTTCTTGGCTGGGTCTGTTCTTCTACTTATGTTCATTTATCTGTGTGTGTGCAAGAAGGAAAAGGGGGTGTGTGCTAAAGGTAGATGGACAGAGGGTGGGAAGTCCCATTATTCTTTCCACTTCTTTCTCCATCTCTGACTCTGCCATCTCTTGCTGCCTCTGTATTTTCTGGGAGCTGGTTCTGCTGATAATTCTGCTGGATCTAAATGCTGGACCTAACTTGGCGATTCTTTCATGTTAGGAGTCTTAGCTGCGACAGTCCATCCTTTTCTTCACCTTTCCATTTCACTTGCTTTCTCCTCCTTTGGGAATGGGGAGCCTCCACTCAGTATTTAGAACAGAGTAAATACCTTCTCCGGATCACTCCTCCTTCCAACCTCCAGAATTTTTTGAAATTAAAATTCACATTCTGGGATCCTGGATTAGTGGCCTGTTTTGGATTCAGCAGTTAGTGATATATCTCCTCTTTCTGTTGACATAGGAGTTTCCCCAATGCCAAAGCACGTGGTCATTAAGGGGGAGAACAATACTGAGAAGAGAGGTGGTTCCTGCCAAGAGTCCCAGGTAGGACTCGGTTGGATGGAGGAGGCTTTACCCTTTTACAAAGTGTTGAGTTCAAATTCCAGTTCACTCCTTCCACAAATGTTTATTAACCAGCCATGCTGTTTTGTGCTGGGCCTTTAGCTCCAGATTTCTTTCTCTGAAGACAGAACAGAAGAAATGAGCTGGAAGTGCTTCAGGAGGGGTTTTGACATCAGGAATGCTTTTCCGGCCGTGTAGAGTTATTACATAGCCAAAGAAGATGTGGTGCTGCCTGCTCTGGAGAGCTTTAAACTTGGAAGAAATTCCTACCTGCTAGGCGGGCAGGCAGAGGCACCATGGGGAAGGCCACGGTCTTGAGACAGGTGGGGAAGATCAAGCCGAGGGACCTGAGGCCAAGTGTGGGATACCATCACAGCTCAGAGCACACCCTGAACTTTTCCAAGACAGGAGCACAGGTGGGGTCTGGTCTGACTGGGTTCCGAGTCCAGGTCTAGCAGGGAAAGATGCGTGCTTATCCCCTACACCCCACTCACACATGGGACACGCAGGCAGCTATGCACACGTGGATACATGGAACCACACGCTCAAACACAGAAACTCAAAACACACGGAGAGAACCCACACAGCCACCCACACCGAAGTCCTGCCCGCCGCCTGCGGTGCGCTCTGTAAACACGCACTCACATCCGCCCGCACAGGGCACACGCAGCCTCTCGTCCCCGGCGCCCGTGTGCGTGCGCTCGCCCTTGGGCGCTTCTGTCTGTGTGTGCCCCCGGCTTCCAATCGTTCCTTTGGGAGGGGGAGGAGTGGCTGCGAGGAGTGAGAGACTGGCGGGCAAGCTGAGGAGAAGGGAGGGAGAGCAGAGGGAGGGGGGAACCCGGCCGGGGGAGGAGGAGAGAGGCGAGGAGGCGGCTCTGGCAGCGCGCGGCGGCGGCGGCGGTAGCGGCAGCGGCAGCGGCAGCAGCAGCGGCGGCGCGGAGAGCTCGGACTGGGAGCCCGAAGCTCGGCTGGGCAGCGGGAGAGGAGGAGCCGCAGGAACTGCAGCTCTGCCAGCTTGGGCCGAGCCCAGAGACACCGGCCTGGCTGGTCCACGCCAGCCGCAGGTGGGAAGGGCCTGGGATGGGGGGTGAGTGTCTCGGCTGGGGCTGAAGCTGAGCCGAGGTGCTGTCTCCTCCCTATGTTCCGTAGACCGTGGCTGAGCATGGAGCTGTCCCCCCGCAGTCCTCCGGAGATGCTGGAGGAGTCGGATTGCCCGTCACCCCTGGAGCTGAAGTCGGGCCCCAGCAAGAAGATGTGGATTAAGCTTCGGTCTCTGTAAGTCCCCGGCCCCGGGAATGGGGGGAAGGGACCTTAGGGAGCCTGAGCGGGAGGAGGAGGGGGGATAACGAGCTGGGCTGTGGGCTGGTTCTCTCCAGCACACATGTTGGCAGGTGCGAGGAAACACGGCCCTGACACGCGTGGCCAGGCCACATGTGCAAGGCATGTGCGGAGCAAGCCGGCCGGTTGGAGCGGGCTTAGGAGTTGCAAAGGTAACGATGTGCCTGTGCCTGTGGACCCCTGGCTGACAGACGCAGCGCGTAGAGGGGGCACAGTAGATGCAGTGTGTCAGGGCTGCAGGAGGGCAGCAGAAGTGCCAGGCTGACTCACACGTATCCCTGTGCAGAGTTGTGCAGATGTGGGCCACATGACATGCGTGTGCATGAGTGACCGCGGGTCGCAGAGGTATGTAGCGTGATTGCACACAGCTTTAGATCTACTGCATGGGAATACTTGTGCCAACCTGTGGGTCATATGTATCTCAATTGGGATTGGTAGTTTCTGCCTCCTGCACAGGGAGTGGGGGTGGGGGACACCCTATGCCTGAGCTGCTCATCTCTTGGGGCCTGGAAACTCACTCTATATATTAATGATGAGGGTACCCACCTGGAATCTGGAGCGGGGGTTGGAGCCCCCATCTGGAAGCTGAAGGAGGTGACGATGGTGAAGAAAGATTAATTAACAGAGGCAAGGTAACTGGCTTAATCAAAGCCTTTTTGTTTATATAGGGTCTTCCAGGATCTCCAAGCACATTTGGGCATCTTTTCCTATTGTTTCAGTACCACGGCCCTGTGGAGGTATAAATGGGGGAAGGACGAACTCAGGTATCTCATACTCCAGTCCCAGGGGAGGAAAGGAACTTTCCTCCTGCTCCTTAGAAAAAAAGAGGATTGGGTCAAAGACAAGCCAGGCACCATGTTTGTGTCCCAGTCAGCTGCTGCCATCGGGAAATCTCCACAGTCTGTTGATTCTTAATCAGGGAACAAGAGAAGATGTCCCTCTCTCTGAGATGAATCCATGGCCCCAGGAACGAGGAAATGGATAGGAGACTATGGATGTTTAGAGAGGAAACACAGTAAACACAGCCCAAATCCATTTCCTCCATAGTGAGCACTGAAGCTTTCTATTTCTGGGTCTGGTAGAGGGAGCGATGAGGGTAGGGGCTGGATAGATGCTTATGTTATATTGTTCTTTAAATACTTTACTGTGGTGATAAGATGACACCTTTCTATGGCAGGTGGGTCTGATTTATACACGAGCTACTTGGAGAGGCCTTAGGGAGAACTGAGGCGTAGTGGGCAACAAGGCTTGGAATCCAGATGTGCTTCTCAGTCCCCCTCCTTGGCTGCCTCTGGCCAATCCAATTTGCTGGGCTCTATGAAGCGCAGCCTTGGAATGAGTTCTGGGATGAAGAAATGGAAAACCGGATTGAATTGATTTTTGTTGGGAGGAGCACTGTGTAATTCTTTTTTTGGGAGGAGCACTGTGTGATTTTGATAGAATATGATGCTCTGTTAATGATAAATGAGCTGGGGAAAGGGGCAGATAAGGAAATAGTTGAATAAGGGCCCCAGGTCCATAAATGGGAGAATTCAACACGTCTCAGGATGGCTCTCCTAGCACTAGTGGCTCATGATACTTACCTTGCCTCTGTTCCAGGTAACAGGGCCCCACAAAAGAGTGGATATTACTAGCTTCACTATCTCCCATGCATTTCTAACCAAAAGGCTTTCCCAAAAATGAATTGCTTTTTCTTCCTTTAGTGTGAGAAGCGCTCAATGGTGAGAGAAGAGGATTCCCAGAAGGAGGCATGAAACCTGGGAAGAGAAGGGAATAGAGGCAGCTGTCCCTCTAGAGTGCCTTAGCTGAGATGTCCTTACATGAGATTAGGGTGGATGAGGAATCCTATTCTTATTGATTAGATCATTCTGGTCTTCACTCACTTCAGCAGTCTGGTCCTTAAGAATGCTAGCTTTGTACAACAAATTAGCAAGGAAAAAATAAAGCTAGATACATGTAATGTAACTTGCCCAAAAAAGTATAATCTCCTGATTATTAATGGGCAGGAATAGATTCCCAGTTACACGTCCTCAAAGCAGAGAAAGACGTTGATATCAAGGTAGATCCCAACTTGATCGATGTTGGCTTACTGGATTTTGCCTTTTTGAATATTGGGGAGGCTCTGACAATTAGGTAAAGGGCTTTGCTGGGTAAGAGGTGGTAGTTTCCCAACTCTCTCAATGGGGTGGTTTCTGAAGAGGTGAGAAAGGAGATGTTCCCCCTTTTAAGTGGAAATAAAGGTTCCTCCCACCTTTGGCCAAGGTAGGGAAGGGTTGCTAAGTCTGGAAATAGGAAATAGATATGATTATCTTAGGATTGGGTACTGCATGGAAATGGAAACATGGAATATATACGTGTATGTATTTACCTAACTATCTATCTAGATCCTTCTATTCAACACATGCTATTTCCCCCCCTCTACCTTTTTAATTTCTGATTAGGACATCCAGACTTTCTTATGGGAGACTAGGCCTGGTGTTTCTGACTCTGGATAAAAAGCCCACAGTAATATAATCATGCAGGGCAATTTTTTTGTTGGGAAGAGCATCCAGGAATTCTGTTTCCCACACTAAGACATTGTCAAAAATAAATTCAGAATCTAATCTGGATCATATGAGCTGAAGAGAGTCTCTTAACTCTGTGATTTTACCTCTATCTTCAGGACAATTTCCCTAATTAAGCAGACTCATAAACCGAGGCATGAGAAAGGGTGAAAGAGGCATCTGGAGGTGATGAGTTGGCCAGGATGACTTTAAGCATCTCTGACCCTCAGAGGAAGTATTTGACTTGTCTATCTACCCTTCTCTGAGATCAGAGGGCTTTAGGGAATGGGAGGAAGACCAGAAGAGGTAGAAATAATTTTCTATGTCTTTTGTGAATCAAGAAAAATGATAAGCATTGATTTGCTATCCTCAGCTCATTTATTCATCCAACAGCTATTTCTCGAGTACCTTCTATGGGCCAGGTGGCATGCCGGATGCTGAGGATACAGTCAGTGGTGGACGAAACAGTCATAGTCCCTGTTCCTACAGAGCTTGTAATCTGTTTCAACTCCATCAAGTGGTGTGGAGAGTTGGGGAGGCTCCCTATTCCTTGTTTTGCTATACCCACCCAAGTGACGAAATTCTACCACTCTGGGTTTCTGCCTCATTTTTTCTTTAGGAGGCTTATATACATAGGAAAAGCATAAATATGCGTTCTCTTTTTCTCAGGATGGTATGAGTGTCGCTCTCTTTTCTCTGCTCCAGTTTCTCTTGGAATTTTACATTTTACAGATAGAACTTCCGCCTTCCTTTGTGACAGTATAGATATAGTTCCTTTCTCTTCTTTTCCCACATGGTACATACTCAGGACCCTGAAAGTCTAGGCTTAATGTTCTATGCTGTGGTTCAAGGTCATTGTAGATGAGCTGGAGCAGGAAACCCATTTGGGATTATTTTTGCTTATCTTAGTTTCGTCAGAGTCTAGTGTGATACCTTGAACATAACAAGCACTCAATAAATGCTGTTAAATGAAGGAATGAACAAATGAAATAGTGAATATATGTACATATGTCATGAGGTCCAGTTCTGTCTCTAATTCTGTGGTGCGTGTATCCCTTCGTGTTTGTTGAGTGGTGGGGGGAGGAGTAGGAAATGGAGATGGAGGAAAGGGAGATGATGATGATGATGTGGTTGTTTTGAGAGTGTGATGCTTAAAAGGTATGGGGTTTGGGGACCTCAAGATGGAGCCCGGAACTGAAGGAGTTACAGAGAAGATCCAGAAACTGGCATTTGGATTGTGTGAATGAGATATATTAGGATGAAATTGTGAATGCCTGCCTGACACGTATACATATGTGTTTGGGTAAAGGTTGGTATGTGTGCTGGGGACAGAGCTCCATGAAGATGTGTCTGTTTTTGTAAGTGGCATGTGTGATAATAAATGTGTTGTGAACGTGTGCACTTACCTGAATACCTGAAATTGTCCTAGTTATGAGATGATGTATGTGTGCATGTAGATAATGGGATAATATCTATTTGTGAGTTTGTGTATGTGTTTGTGACACTCAGATTTTTTGACATTCCTGGTAAGTTCCAGTGGATGGGAGGAAGAAGCTGAGGGACTGGGTGCCTCATTGATTTAACCCTGCCTTTTGCCCTCTTTTTGTATATGCCGCACGTAGTGATCTTCTGTGGCTCTTACCAGTTTTGAAAATCATGCTGCCATTCTCCTTTTCCTGCCTATGGATGTGGAGTGGCTGTGAATATTGCAGTATAAACTATGGTTCCTTGGACCTCTGGAGAAAAAGGAGTGTCATTTTTCTCAGACCTTGGTGGGGATAATTTTTTGGTGCTGTCCTCACTGGGTTAGTCCTTCTTCCTCTTCTAGCCATGACAAAGGGAATCTCTCCTCCCTGGGTTTCATACCCCACTTTTCCAACAAATGTCTCCTGTCTCTATTTCTTCCATCAGCTTTGTCTTGAATGAGGACTGTGTGGTATCTCTGAGAAGGTAGAGGGTAGAAAATTCCTGCATTAAGTTGAAGGTAAGGTATAGAGATAGGGGATCAAAGTCAGCCCCAAGGAAGAACTTCACAAACCTCTGGTCAGGATATGTGGCTGGAGGGAGGGAAGCAGGGAGGCAGGGTGGTTGTAGTGGGAGAGCATGGGGAATATTGGGAGACTTGAGTTGGAGTTTATGTTTCTGCTCAAACAATTACAGCTGTGTAATGTTTAAGTCACATAGACTCTCTGAGTTCTTTTTTTTTTTTTTTTTTTTTTTTTTTTTTTGTTTTGCTTTGCCACCCAGGCTGGAGTGAAGTGGCTCGATCTCAGCTCACTGCAACTTCTGCCTCCCAGGTTCAAGCAATTCTCCTCCCTCAGCCTCCCGAGTAGCTGGGATTACAGGCGTGCCACCATGCTCGGCTTTTTGTATTTTTAGTAGAGATGGGGTTTC